GCATCGGGCACCCCGCTCTGCGGGAGGCCTGCTTCTCCCTCTCCCACTCCCCCTGCTTGTGTTCCCTCTCTCGCTGTGTCTCTCTCTGTCAAATGAATAAATAAAATCTTTAAAAAAAAAAAATTGAGAGAGAGGGATTTGTTTTCTACGATTCCTATACCTAATTCAATCTTCCATCAAGTTCTAGCAAACCTTTGTTCACTCAACACATTTATTGAGTACCTAAGTTATTAACGCACGCTGGAAATGTAACAGTGATCAAGACGTGAATGATCTGTCACTGCTTTATAGAGAGAGGTTAAATCATACTCAAAGTCGTAGAACATCAGCACTGGAAGAGCACGGCAGGGTCAAGGGGTTGGAGTCACAAGGAGGGGTCGTAAGACGTGGCAATAAATAGGAGGTCCGGCATTCTGGGAAGAAGTGGGTGCGCTTTGAGAAGTGAGGAGATGCTATGAGACATCAGTGAGCTGTGGACGCAGACGTGCGTTTGGTAGTGAGTAGCGTAAATCAGGATGGTGCTCTAGGAGGAGGCCAGGCCAGAGAAGCATTGTGGTTTAGTATTTTCAGTGGGAGGGCGTGGGTAGGCCTAGAGGAGACAGCCATGGGCAGGGTGCTTAAAAGACACTGTGGAGGGTTAAGTGGAGAGACAGAAGCCTCAGGAGGCTCTTCTGTCAAAAGACATAAGTTATAAGACTTGAACGAAAGCACTCTTTCACCTTTTTATTAATGGTTACAAAAATTAGAAATGGTTTTCCCCATCCGACCCCATTCCCGTACGTCTGTATTTATCCCGTCACAGATGGGGACTCAAATGCAATGCTGATAGACTCTGGGGTTGTCCCCTTACCTCTACCACTGAGGACCAGAAGGCCCACAGGTGACTGCTCTTGGGTAAAGCATGATCTCTTCCAAGAGAAACTTGAGAAATGCCCTGTAGGACAAAAGTTGGGGCAAATTTCCAAGCACAGACATGGGGAAAAGTGCATGTACCAGTCACGGCAAGTGTGCCTGAAGGAGGAGAGTAGGAGGGATGCCTGGGTGTTGAGAGAGCTCAGAATAAGCCAGGAAGGCCAAAGCTTTTTTCTTTTATTTAAAAGATTTTATTTATTTATTAGAGAGTGAACATAAGCCGGGTGGGGTGGGGAGGGGCAGAGGGAGAAGCAGACTCCCCACTGAGCAGGGAGCCCAACACGGGGCTCGATCCCAGGACCCTGAGATCATGACCTGAGCCGAAGGCAGACGCTTAACCGACTGAGCCACCCAGGCATTCCCCCGTATATATGTATTCTTAAAATTTTCCCTCATCCATCCTCTTCATAAATCTTTAGATCACTGTAGACTGGGTGAATTGGGGAAGGCTTTTTGAAGTAGGTAAGTTCTTCTTTGTGTTGAAGTAAGTAGAGAATTTAGAGTGGTGGGAGGGAAAACCAAGTGTAAGAATAAGGAAGAGACCACGGGTGAGAAGCAATGGGGACAATAAGGAAGAAGTAGAGCCAGTTCGTGAAGAGACTTGACAGCCCGAATGAAGGTTCTGAGTTTGATTTCGCAAGTGTGTAGAAGCTGTAGTAAGGTCTTTCTTCATCTGTTGACTCACTCAGCTTTGTATTCATTAACCTGGACCTTGATTGATCAACTCAGCAAATACTTCTCAAGCTCCTAGTGTGTATCAGGCTCTCTGTCAGGCCCGGAGCCGTGGTTCTCAACCAGGGGCACTTTTCTCCCCCAGGAGGCAACGGGCGATGTCTGGAGATGGCTTTCATTGTCACACTGGGGATGGGGTGCCTCTGGCAATTGACTGGGGAGGGGGCAGGGATGATTCCTACAACAAGGAACTTTCTGGTCCCAAATGTCAATATTGCTCCTGTTGAGAAACCCCGGGCTAGAGGGTACAGTATCTGAGATAAAGTCCTTGCCCTCTGGGTTACCCCAGGGGAGGGGACACTATAAACGAGTAATCCCAGTGTACCAAGCCCCACAGCGAAAAAGGGACTGGATATTATGGAAGAGCAGAAAGAGATGCCCTTAACTCTGCTTGGGGTTGGAAAGATTTCTGGAGATTAGAGAGGAGAGGAAGGTTACCCAGATGGGAATGGGGGTGGGAGGAGTTTGTTCAAAAAGGTGGCCCAGGGGCACGTGGGTGACTCAGTGGGTTAAGTGTCCGACTCTTGGTTTCTGCTCAGGTCAGGAACTCAGGGTGGTGAGATCGAGCCCTAAGTCGGGCTCCATGCAGAGCACTGAGCGTGGAGCCTGCTTAAGATTCTCTCTCTCCCTCTCTCACTGCCATCCCCCCATGCATGCACACACACTCTCTCTCTTAAAAAATAAAATTAAATAAATAAATAAAAAACCAAAAAGGTGGCCTGTTACATGGGACTGCTGGGCAGTTTGGTGTCATTGAATATAGGGTATGCGGTGGGATGGGTTGGGGTGGAATGGTGAGAGATGGCACGGGGTGGGGGCAGAATATATCCAGGAAGGTGGTAAGGGCTCAGCCAGTCTCTCCCCCGGCCCTACTTGGTAAGAAGGTCAATGTCCACAAAAGTCACAAAAGGGAATCTGGCACCCTGTTCACAGCGCTCTCGTCTGTAGCTTTTATTTCTCAGCGGGGCTCTGATAAGTGTGTGTCCTCTGAGTTTCGAATAAAGGTAATAGCAAAATAGAACTCTTGCTAATAATTTGCCCTGGAGATGGAAGCTGTCAGATAATCATTCAGAATTTAAAACCTCCTCTCAATATTCCTTCAGATGAAGAAAATGGTAAGATAAAAATATAGCAGAACTTATTAGCAACATCTTCCCCATTTTTTCCCTAAATGGTTAGAACATGCTGCCTTTCCCTGCTCTTCACATCAGCGTTTCTCTTATTAAAGCTGTCTATTTTTCAGTCCTAAATCCTAGGAGGATTTCCCCCCATGAATTTAACATGACTGAGGAAACTGGCTCCAAGGTAAAATTTAGCTGCAAATGATCTGAGACGAGGCATCGTAATAAAGAGACTGAAAAATGAACCACGGCCTTTTCGTAGCTTCAAATGTGCGGTCACCTTTCTCTTTCACCCCCAATTTTATGATTATTCATAATGGAAGTAGGCCAGCTTTATACAGTGATTACATGCAACAAATGCCCTTCGTGTTCAAAACCAGCGTTCTCCTGCT